GTGAACGGAGGGAGTAATTATTTAATTATGCAAATTGGTTACGACTTTGGAACTTAGGACTTAGAAGTTGGAATTATTATCCAATCAAATAGTAGGTACTTTTACAACGATAATCTTTGTTTTGTTCTTTTCCTCTTCTCAGTGTCATCATTCAGGGAATATCTTTTCTATGTTTACATAACTTTTTGCAAACAAACCAAGAAAAACGAAGGAAAAATGCTCACTTTTGCAACTTTGCATGATCCGATCGTTTGCCGACATAAATTCTAAATTTAAATTCGTCTGCTGATTAATAATTTTTTGTTGGGGCTTAAAAAGTTTTTTTTTTGTGGTCAAATCTATATATATATATATNAAAAATGTGAGGTGGCACCTCTCTTTAGCCAACAAACTCACTTATCTTTTTTCTCATTTTTTTGAGTTTTCCCCCTCATTTTTTCATTTATCTTATTTTTAGAAGCCCAAAAATCTCCCTAAGACAACATATAACAGTTTCCTCTATTAATTGTGTTCATAACTCCCAAATATTTCATTTATTTTGTTTACCCACTCTTCATATTCTTAAAGGACACGTTCAAAAGTACACGTTAATTACAATTACACTTGATAGATTTAATAGTTCATTACAATTACACTTGATAGGTTCAATACTCATTCCATTAATTACAATTACTCACTATACGTCTTTCCATTTCTATTACCCAATGTCAGTTACGAATTATATTGGTTATTATAAATATTATGTTATAAATACTAACACACATCCTCTTCTTCACAACTTTCTTCTTTTCTTCATTAATAACTCCTCTCTTTTTCGTTAGAAACTTTGTATACATGAAATTTCTTTCTTCTTTTTCCTTTTTCTTTGTTCTTATTGCTTTTGCCGCAATTATATTATTTCATATAATTTTTTTGTGCATAATTTTGGTTGTGGAGTAGGGAAGAATTGAACATATGGCATTATTTGTGGGCAGTATTTGAGAATTCAGTTCAAGCTTGATGATGAATACGCTATCATTTAATGATGTTATATGCATATTTTGCAATTCTTTTAGTATATTGCAGGCATATAGTGTTCACGTATATTCAAATGCAATAATCTTAACTTTTGATTTGGCCTAAAAATACCCTATATATTTTGGATTTTAGGAATAATTGTATGCAATTCACATTAAATTTTGGTTTTTATTTTTTTATTTTTTCCAACAACTAAAAAAGAATTGAGGATGTGTGATTATATAGTTGTTCAAGACAACTGATAACTTGAGAAAATGTGATTATTTTCCTCATGTCAAATAACTGAAATAATTTGTATGTGTATGCAAACAGTTGGGAAACAAAAGAGGAACCTTAAGGAGGGTCTCAACTTCTTTGCACGTATTAAGGAATTTCGACAGAGTTTTGAAGAGATTGTCTAAACAAGTTCTTCAAATAATCTGCCATTGATGGCTAAGGGGTTTCCTTTTACCGATTTGAAAGGAAGACTGTATATGGTCACTCGCGATTATGCATCTCTTAAGCTAAATTTGATTGAAAATCTTATTTTATAAAATTTCCTATTTAAGTACCGTAAACGGAGGATAATTGGAGTGTTTAGAAGTTGAGCAACATTGCAAAATAAATGCTTAATTATTTTACAGTAGTGAAAGTAGTAACATATCTGTCAAATTGATCAAGCTGTTCATGATGATAAAATTTTATATTTGTGATATAATCTCAATTTGTATAATTAATTTATACTCCTATATGCATATAGGTAAAAGCTACGTATTTATTTTCTCAACTAAATAAAAAATATTATTTCAAAAGTTATTTTATTAAACCGCGCGAAGCGCGAAGAAATTCACTAGTGTATTAAAAAGTTGGTTATCAAGGTGCTCTCGATACATAGGAGTAGCATTAATATTTGAGTTCACATATCTTTTATATTATATTAAAAGGAGAGTAGTATGCATTGTGGTTAAGCTAAGTGGCAAGCTAAATGGAAGTCACTTGGCAATTTTAGGACAACATTAATAATTAAAAATTATATACAGAAACATAATTAATGGAAGTAATTTAATGAATCTTATACATAATCTAAATAGATCTTAGACAAATCTAATCTATATAGCTATAATTAAATTTGTATGTATATTTGTATCTATATCTATATTATATCTATATCTATATCTATATCTACTCATAGATTGTTTTCTATATTAGCTAGAAATATGGAGGTGAAAAATTAATTAAAAACTATAATAAAAAAATAAAAATATATAAAGACGTAAATTGAGATAACCTATAACTATTTATACTTTGGAGTAAGTTAAAATATAGAATAAAACTAAAATTTACTTAAGATATTAAGGATTTATTGAGTTTAAAAATTAAATAATTTCAAGCAGCAAAATAAAAAGGTAAGAGGAAAATTAAATAATCAACAAAAGATATTTTAATAACAAGAACAATAAATTCATATTAATACTGATAAATCGTGCAAATAAATAATTTATACGTAAATATTACTACAATATTTAGATATAATGGGTTCGAACAATTAAGAAATTTTTTTCTATGATTAAATAAAATTTTAAAAATTCAAAATAAATTTCTAATATTGGTAATCTTACTAATGAAAATTAAAAATTTAATTGTATCTTATAGCTAAAAAAGGAAAAAAATTTAACTGCAACTAATACAAAATTAATTATAAGAGAACTCAATACATTTGGAACATGATAATCAAATAACTTATGTATTAATATTTTAGACTAATTAAAAGTTATAATTTAAAACAAAATATGACATTATTTTGGCTCAAGGTAAAACATTAATATAAAAACTAATTAACATTTGTAGTAGAAAGAGAATGTACATAAAAAAAATAAAGGTAGTGTGAGGATACTTATACTTTAAATTAATTTAAAAATAGATAAAATAAAATAATTAAATTATATTTAAAAATATTACTGATAAATTTAAATGATTAAAATATTATGAATAAGAGGATAAAATCATAAAAATATACCAAATTTCAAGAATAAAATATTTATTTTTATTAAATATTATTAAAAGTATAAAAAGTAAGACATTAATTTAATTATAAGCTAATAAACAAATTATATGATAGTATAATAATATTAAATATTAAATGATACAATAACTATAAGAAAAGAACAAAAAAAAAGAATTTATGTAAAAGTGATGTGATGAATAAGATATATTTGACTTTTAGATAAAAATAAAGTGATAGTAAGAATTTTGTTAAGATAATATGATCTAATGTGCTCGAACAAGATAGATCACAATATGACATGTTTAGTATTCTTTAATATCGACAGCGGAACAAAATACAAGTAGCAAAATCAAGGGGTTAGGTTGCTACAAATATATATTAAAAAGATTGGTTGTTCACTACGAGATTTGAACAATAATTTCATATCATGTTTCATAATTAAATTCTCATGTTATATAATTTTTATCTGAGAGGTTTATATTTTAAGGTTATTTGTACATGATTCAAACAACCTACATCGCAATTTTGAAATAATTTATCCGCACATCGTGCGGGTACTGATACTAGTATTAAGCCATAGGGAAAATGATCAAATTTATCTCTGAACTATTTAATATTGTACAATTACCCCTGTTTTAATTTTGATTCAATCTTGCCTCGCCGTTACTCAAAAATATCATCAATATCTTCCCCACTAACCAGGAAGCTCCAGTTGGAACGACAACTCAAGCTTAACTTTTTTTGCTTACGTGATTGCTTTATTGGAATGACGTTAGATATCTTAGTCCCGGTCGCAAAGGTTTCGGAGACAGTAAAGACAATATAAATAAGTAAGAAAGTAAAGTGTTATTGAGCTTTTGATAGAATATGGTGTATGTTTGTCAGAAAATTCGTTCCCTTACAATGATGATAGAGCTCACTATTTATAGTTGCACATAAGGAACAAGGTCTTAGGATCAAGCCTCTCTTAACAGACAATTATGAGGGTCATTGAAGAATATGTAATGGTGAGCAGTGAATGACATATTCTCTGTAACGGATCATGTACTTAATGTTCTAGACTACTCTTCATTGAATAGTACCGGATGACAGTCATTTAATTTGCTATTTTTTTGATAAGTCATTTAATTTACCTTTATGAATATCATTCTCTCCGATGACAAGCGAGATCATCGCCCTCGAATCCGACTGTCTTTTGTCTTCGGCTACACGTGTTGCTTTCTTATGCGATCATTAAATATGAACATTTTTTACCCCATACAAATTTCAAGATCACAAATACAAATTTTTCCTTTACTGGTGATTAATGAGCGTCCCATTGTTAATTATTGTCTTTTTATACCGTTTTCAAGTAATTACAATTCTATACCTGGGAACCTACATTTTCTTTTTCGTTTTCCTTCTAAAATTTAATTTCAAAGGAAAGCATCCTTATTAGCTAGGTTTAGAAAGAAACAAAGAACACACCAAATTTTATCTCTTTTTTCAAACAACTCAATGAGATAAGATCTCTTTGCCAACTTTTGGAGTCTAGTTATCAATAAAAGGTGGTGTTAGCTCAACTAATTAATACTGTCAAAAGACAGTTCAAAAAGGAAACTTGACAATTACTTGTTAAATGAAAAGGATATATATCAACAAATTAAAATTAATATACAAGTATCCGTATTTGACGTTAAATAAGAGAAAAAAAAGTCTAATAAATTACATCTCACAAATACCTTTGATACTCTAGTAAACACTCTAGATTATTAGTGTTTAATGAAAAATATTCTTATTAATTTATACAAATTACAATTACGATGATAAAAAACGGACATTCAGCCTAATTCGACCGCAAAAATTAACTCATGAGATGAGAATTGCGTAGATAATATAAGGAGACCAAGTCCCTTGTTCCCCTCCGAGGAGACTCAAGAAAGGATGCCATTGCAACCCCTTCTTTTGTGGGGGCAATATTATTTTGTTGAAATATTCCAACGTAACGTATTTTTCTATATCATGTCCAAAGTGGTTCCCAAGCTGCATATACACTATTGTCTTCCAAAAAGAGGCTGGTATTTCCATAAAATTGTGCATCATTCTTATCTTTGTTTACTTGATTTTGTGACATCTCCAAATTGGCGTTTTGTGACTGCACATTCAACATCTCTACTTGAGCCTTGGCAAGTTGTGCTTGAAGATCACTAATTTGTTTCTGCAGCTGCCAAATTGCACCTGCGCAGCCATACACTGGATCTCTGATCCTTGCATTTGCCTCATACACCATGCTATTCACTGCATCTGCTCTTTGATCCTCCCCAAGTTCCTATTAATAATTAGATTTTGTGCATTTAATTTCGCCCTAAGGTTTACAGAGATATTATGATCATCTATGAATGAAATGAAGATATACCCGAAAATGTAACGTTGGGCTATGGGGTCAACATTGATCCATCCTAAGAGTGAATTGCTTCAGCAGGAAACGATGAAGTCATAGTTTATGGTAATTAAACTTGTGGAGGGATTAGCTATAGATTAGATAAATTAAGTTAAATTCCCCTTAGATCACTAAACTCTAAGTGTGGAATGTGAAAGAGAATGCATCTTAATTCTTAAAGGGGCCGCACAACAACTTTGTATCCGTTTTTTTCTTTTATTTAATAACGGGAAAAGTACTATGGTGCAAGTGAAATAAAAAATAAAAGAAGAATAACTAAAATGAAACATTCTTTCAAGGCAGATAGGTCTCCTAGCCCCTTAGGTGTTTGATACGATGAAGCCAGGAAAATATTTTATAAGAAAAAGACACTAATTTTTTTGGGGGTTGGATTATCACTTTTTAGGAAAAATAACTTGCCTCACTTATTAAGTGAAAGTCATTTTACTTACAACTTTTTTAACTTATAGCTCCGTATTACCTGCATTATTTAACTCGTAGACATTATATATAGTCATTACTATTAAAAATTTCATCAAAATATTCTCCGATTTACTAATATTATTAGTACTTGTAACAAAATATTGTAGTTTTTTTTTAATTTTTTTTACTCACCAACCAAATACAAAAAAAAAAAAAGTTCCTCATATATACCAAACACTTATCCGTGTTCACATCTGAAACCCTTGTGATTATTATACACAAAGAAAATCAAGAAAGATGATTAACGTAGAAATACCTGCAATGATTTGATGATGTTGCTGGCACCAAAGACTCGATGAGCATTGGTAAACTTGAGGGGCTCCGTGGGCGGAAAGTACGGTGCCAACACACATTTATCGATGCATCTCCGGCGGAGGATTTTGCAGGCTGCGCAAGGTGTTATCGGAACAACTGGCGGAGATGATGGAGGAGCAGCCGTACTTCCACCGGCAGAAAAAGATGAAGAAGCTAAAGTTTGTGAAGTAGTAATAATGGTGGTTTTGTTAACGCAGTCCATGTTAATTGGCGTGTGGGGTTTTATGGCAAATGTATATAGAGACCAAAATCACTTTGGTGGGACTTGAAAGGGTTGTGGTTTAGCAAAGGGCTCTATGTATATATAGAGACCAAAACAAAGCCCGGGAAGAGGGTTTCATATCGCTCAAGAATAATGACGTCACCCCACGTATGTGGTCAGCTAAATGACATCATCATTGAAACAAATAGTATATGTATATCCTACGGTAACATGTATAATGACCATAAAAATAATAACTATAAATTATACATGCACATACATAGGTACCTAGTGTGTACATAAAGAAGTAAAAAAAAAAAAGAAGAAGAAGGGAGGTACTTTGTTTCAAAATCATTTGACGAAAAGAGTTCGAAAAGTTCCTTCCAAACTAGATAGATACATATACTGAAAATAATAATGTCAAGCTTTTAACAAAATGGAAAAAGTTAACCAAGTGAAATTAAAATCAGACAGAACAAACATTATATTATGAGCAGCTGAGAATATTTGTCTTCGAGACACTTGTTATATTAAAACTGCACATAGAAAATTTTATATGTTCATTTTGCGGGTTGCTGTTCAAATTTTATCCTCGTTTTAAAGATCTTGCAAATATAAACTTAATGGCAGACGACCACCACTTCCCAAATTTAAAAGTTTTCCAGCCATTTTCTTCATCCACCATCTCCATCAGCATACAATCAGATCAGATTCAAATCGGGAATGCATATCTAACACTTGTCTCGAATTTGGATTGTATATGCGTGCGTTGAATAAATATTAGTACTAAATAAAGTTAAAAACATGTTCATATAGACTGAGGCATATCCTTTATTTTCCTTCCATAAAATGCATCTAGCAAAACAAAATTTGCTAATTCGACAAGATTTGTGAACAATTTAATAAATTAAGTAGAATGAAGATTGTATACAAGTTATGTGATGTTTGGCAAAAATGCTACTCCCTCCGTTCCAATTTATGTGAACATGTTTAACTGGACACGGAGTTTAAGAAAAAATGAAGACTTTTTGAATTTGTGGTTCTAAACAAGTTAAAAAAGGATCCAGAGTATTTGTGTGGTTATAAAAGCTTCTCATTAAAGGTAGAATTCGAAGTTTAAGCAAAATTGTTTCCAAATTTAGAAAGGGGTCATTCTTTTTGGAACGAACCAAAAAGGAAATAGATTCACATAAACTGGAGCGGAGGGAGTATATTTTTAATACATTACTCACCTTACATGTTCTTAGTTTAGTGGTTAATTGTGCGACATTTGAGCTAAATTATGTTGTTTTATGTGTAGGAGCATCAGAAGAAAGAGTCGAATGAAAGTTGCAAGAAAAGAGCACAAAAACACAAAGTACTCAAACCTGGATACAGGCCAGCCGTAGCCAGCTTGGCCGCGCTACATGCCAGGCATAGCTAGCTTTGTAGCCAGCTTGGCCGTGCTACAGGCCAGGCATAGCCAACTCCGCAATCAGCTTGGCCGCGCTATAGGGCAAGCGTAGCTAGCTCCGCAACCAGCTTGTCTGCGCTACAAGTCTGGCCTCGCGAGGTTAGGCGCCCGGTGGTCAAAAGTTTGCGAATTAGAGTATGCATACCCAGTCTGTAAATAAATTATTTCCCACTCAGTTTTGGACTTGGAGACTTCAACCCTAGCATATAAATACTCCCCAAATATGTCCAAGGAGGAGGTTGAACGTTTTTAAGAGGGGATTCTGTCTAAAGAGGCAAGGACTTGCTAGGAGCAAGACAAAGAATTCTTCTACGAGTTCTTCACTTCCTTCTTCCTATTTCCATTATTGGTTATGAATTCTAGTATTGTAGTTTTGCATACTATTATGAATAACTAATTTGTTATCTAGGGTTTTGATGAAACCTTTTGTAGGATATATTCTTGTTATGTTTTTATATAATTGAGTCATTGGATTTCTCTACTTGTTCAACTACGTATTTATTGCTGTTGATTGAATGATCATCATGGACTGTGCCTATCTAGTGTGTATTTCTTGAGAGAGGGTAAGCATTTAGGTAGTCGTTGAACAACATCATTCCTAACGTATGTGAGAAATCAATATGGAGGGTATAAAGATGGAATTAGGAATAACGAAACCTTGGTATGATCTTAGTGAGCGGTGAACTTGTGCCAGCTAGCGTAATTCAGAGAAATACGTCTAATAAATTGTGGTAGTTGCTCGGAAGAGAACTATGACACCCGAATTACTCACGATCAGTAGAGAATTCCTAGGCGATATTACAGGAGACGTAGCGGGAATGATTCCAACAATTGGGAAACTTATAACTCTAGGCCTCCTTAATCTTATCTCCAACCCTTAACATCTGTAGTTGTTAATTTACTAGTTTAAGTTGTTAGTTGATCAGTTAGACATAAGAATCTTAATATTTATAGCTTAGGAATTATTCGAGCTTATCTTTTTAGTGATAACAAACAGTTGTAACTAAATCTTAGTTTTATGTGGGATTGGACTCCGGACTCTTAGACCGAATTATATTTGCAGCGACCGATTATCCTTTTTAGGATTAGAGTTGGCCGTGATCTAATTTTGCACCGATTGACATAACTTATAAATAAGGAAAGATTGCCAATTTGGCAAGATTTGTGACAATTTGACGAAATAGGTAGAACGAAGTTTTTATCAAAATTATGCCAGCCGGCAAAACTTGTGCGTAATTTTTCATTATTTAGGGTGCGTGGTGCCAAAGCTATGTTTGCACAAATTACTTTAATGAGGAAAAAATTTAAATAGTGGCGCAGAATGGTAGTATCATTTTTCAATCCAGTCAATATGCTAGTAAGTGTTCTCCCCGAGGATAGAAATGATAGCAATGTAAAAGAGCAAATAAAATTGTTTAATTGAGCGTGAAAATGAAATATAGTATTAAGTTTTGCGCAGAATTTCGTATGTTACAAAGGCTACTGAGCCTGTTATTTATAGCTATACATTGGGAAGCAAGATCCTAGGATCGAGCCCCACTTAAATAATAATAAAGGAGTCATTGATAAATATGTAACAACATGTCATTCCATTGTGTGTTGTTCTCCTTGCTATCACAGCTTCTCGTTCTTGATGAGATGGGGTTGCTGTAGAGCCTATTGGGTTAACCACTGTGTTCGAATATGATGTTATTGCTGGGATTTCTTCTACTAATTGGAACGCACTTGGTTGGGGGCTTTTCTGTTGATCCATACGCGGCTGGAGCGTGTTCTAACTTTACTTCAGCCAAGTCTTTGGATATCGCCTATTTTGGGTGCGCCTGAGGCGTGTTCTAGTAAACTAATTATGGCACTAATGTTTCACTTAAGCTCGATTCACTTTATAACTGGTTTGCAGCTTTTTACGGACAAGCTTTCAACGATTAGCTCGAGGCAGAGACTCTTTTCATATTCTAAATTAGACGTTTTAGTGTATTTGCAAATTGAAACTTGAACAAACTTAAGTTGTTTCATATCACAACTCTATATAGAGAAGAAGAAGAAGAAAAAAAAAATAGTCTCATGAACATGGATGCTGGTAAAAGTCTTAATTAATTTCACAATTAACATATTGGCTGAGCTTTCAGCTTATAATACACAAATCCATATTAGCGATAGCACTACAACAAATTCTGATACTTTTGCAAAGAGAATCAGACTCCACAGAGGCCATTTCCACGATTCAATATGGAAATAATATGCTAACTAAAGTGATTATTGGAGGATATTACTTCTTAGCCTTTGAGTGCCAATTATAATGTATATTTACAAGAAGTAAATACAGTAGTCGATGATCTAGCCATGTATTGAGCTAGATGAACTTTCGATAGAGAGAAAGATGCACAGACGAAAAAAAAAAGAAATAATTTCTTATATAAATATATTAATTAATCGGAAAAGTGTAAAAAAATGCCCCTAACATATTGAAATAGTCTAAATTTGGGGGAGTTTACATAAATACATGTAGAATTATAAAATATTTCTTAATCTACAACTATAAAGTAAATAACATTTCTTACAACTTAAACACGATAAAAGGATAAAGGAAATAGCCCTTAAATACGGTATCTTCCTATAAATAAGGAAACTGAATATCAAACACATTTAATAAAATCAACTGTTCCCTAAAAAAATACTCCATCACAATTCCTATAAATAAGGAAACTTAATACATAAAATTCTCCATTGCCTTTTTATTTGTATTCTTTAGTAGCAGGAGAAATAATCTTTAAATAAAAAGTACCCAAAAAAATGGAACAAAATAGGTCATAATAAATTTATAACATGTAGAAAAGATATGATTTATTGTATATTATATATACCAAGTGTCATATAAGTTTATATTATATATAATGTATTGTATACTATATTGATTAGTAATATACATCCGACAAAATAAAGTGGTATTCTACAATAAAAGGTATGTTGTATTGTATACTTATACCAATATCATATAGGTTTATATTATATCATATATTGTATACGGTATTTATTAGTAGTATACCTTAGTCNATATACATTTTCATATAAGTTTATACTATAAAATATATTATATTATATACTATATTTATTATTAATATACTGGGGATATATTTTTTAATAATGGGGAAGAGGCTTGGGACATTGGGATATACTCGAATCCTTTAATGGAAAAATTGGGAAAAACTTAATACGGATAGATATGTTTTAGGTGAGAGAGAATCACAAGAGAGAGATATAAGGATATGTTTTAGGTATGAAAAACTCAAAGGAAATATACAGTAATACATAGTATATGTATATATTATATTGTGTATAGTATATTTGTTAATAATATTTCTTTTTTTCCAGTCCAATGTTTGTATACAATATATATATAAGAATAGATTATTTAAAAACTTGGGAGAAGTAAATACATTTTGGTGATGTAGTGATAAAGAAGAAGCAAATTTGAGGAAACAAATATAATTTATATATGATAAAAATATACAATAACATAATATATAGTATATATAATATAAAATAATAC